GGCTTTTTTCCCTTCTATAACAGGGGCCGATATAAAGCCCCTTCACAATTCAAAATTGCACTTTTTTTTCACAAAGCAGTGGTAAAAAATTAGCAATTTCAAAATAAATTTCACAAAATATTGGGATTTTATCTTCGAAATACATTGTTTAATATCCTCTGGTAAAACTTGATTTACGCAAATTGCAATAACACAGAAATATTTGTAATCAAGATAATTGGTGTGCGCACGTTAACCGGGTAAAGTACCAACTTGAAACAGATTTTACACTGGTCAGAAATTATAATCAACCGTTTCCGGTTTCAAAATGTTGCGAAATGCTAAATAATATGTCATTTTTTTCACAATTTTAAGACATATTGCGCTTTTTTTCACAAAATGAACAGGCTCTGGCCCCTTCACAATTTTGATAAAAAATGCCCTGAGAATAATTAAATTCAAATTGTGAAAGATGACTCAAAACTGAGAAGCATTGAAAATCTTTCCACTACCATCTGGCATATATTTACGGTATTTCATAACCCTTTTTAGCTCGACTATACGAAGTATATGGAGAGCTATCCTACTCGCCCCGGCGTCGGCGTCGGCATCCGCATCCAGATTTCAGATTAAAGTTTTGGTGCAGTAAAATATTTTTCACTATAACTTTGTCATTTCTTAAGGTATCAACTTAAAACTTCAAATATATGTTCCTTATCATCAACCACATCTTATGTGACAAGGTTGATAACTCTTAGCACCAATATTTTCAGATTTATCTCCCCTTGAACTTAGAATTTTCCTTAAAAAATACTATTTTTTACTGTTACTTCTTTATTTCTTTAGGGATCAACCTCATACTTCAAATATATGTACCTTATCATCATCCCCATCTTATGTGACAAGGTTCATAACTCTAGCCCCAATATCTCAAGATTTATCTCCCCTTGAACTTAAAATTTTCCTTAAAAAATACTATTTTTTACTGTTACTTCTTTATTTCTTAAGGGATCATCCTCATACTTCAAATATATGTACCTTATCATCATCCCCATCTTATGTGACAAGGTTCATAACTTTAGCACCAATATTTTCAGATTTATCTCCCCTTGAAATTAGAATTTTCTTTAAAAAATATTATTTTTTACTGTAACTTATTTATTTCTAATGGGATCAACTTCATACTTCAAATAAATGTACCTTATCATCATCCACATCTTATGTGACAAGGTTCATAACTCTAGCACCAATATTGCAAGAATTATCTCCTCATCAACTTAGATTTTTTTTTACTAGAAAAATGTTATTTTTTACTATAACTTTTTTAGTTTTAAAGGTATCTACTTCAAACTTCAAATACTTATTCCTTATAATCAATTATATTTTATGTGACAATGTTCATAACTCTTGAAGTAATTTTTACAGATTTATCTCTCTTTGAACTTAGGATTTTCATTAAGAAATATTATAACTTTGTTACTTTTTAAGGTATCTACTTCAAACTTCAAATATATACTTCTTATCATTACATACATGTTGTGTGACAAGGTTCATAACTCTAGCGTGACTATTTCTAGAATTATTTCCCTTGATCTTGGAATTTATTTTAACAAATGTTATTTTTTTACTATAACTTAATACATCATTATACATAATTGATTTTTCTTTCATAGTTTTGTCCTCCTTACTGCGTCCAATATTTTATTAGTCGAGCTTGGCTGTCTCCTGTGACAGCTCTTGTTTGCATATCTTTCTGTTATATGTGCCCTATCTGATCTATGTAAGCAGTTCTGATTTTTATGGTTTTAGGGTCGAGTTCCTTTAAACTTGCATACACAGAAGGTGGCTAAGCTTTGTCACCAGAAGGAAGCACATCTGTATGGGTTGATTATTGTTCTTTGTACATCTTTCTCATTTTTGTATTTTCATAGACTTAAAATGGACTGTTCCAAATTTTAAGCAGGGAAATTTATCCTGATTACACAAATCTAAAATATAAGGGTTAACATAAGATTTTGACGAGATTGCCCCACATTTACTAAGTAGCATAGGCCTGCTACTGTTTGGTTTTTGTGTCGCCTTGAAAAGGTGACATATAGGGGTTACTTTTGTTGGCGGCGGCGTCTGTGTCGGCGTTGCTGTAAGCGTCGTTGTTGGCATCCCCTAAAGCTTGTCCGGAGCATAACTCAGTCACTTTAAGTCTGATTGACTTCAAACTTGGTATGCATGCTTCTTTCAATAACCCGAAGTGCAGTGCACAAGGACCGGTACTCTGCAGTTCTTATTTTTTGAGTTATTGCCCTTTGTTAATTTTCATACTTTAATTTTGTACGGGCCATTTCTCTTCAACTGAAAAAGCTATGGACTTGAAACTTCATAGGATCTCATTAAGAAGAAGCGCAGTGCACAAGAACCGGTACTCTGCACTTCCTTATTTTTGAGTTATTGCCCTTTGTTAATTTTCATACTTTATTTTTGTCCGGGCCATTTCTCCTAATGTATAAAAGCCATGGACTTGAAACTTAATAGGATGATAGGTCTCATTAAGAAGAAGTGCAGTGCACAAGAATCGGTACTCTGCTTTTTTTAATTTTTGAGTTATGGCCCTTTGTTAATTTTCATACTTGATTTTTGTCCAGGCCATTTCTCCGAAAGTATAAAAGTTATGGACTTGAAACCTTATAGGTTGATAGATCTCATTAAGAAAAAGTGCAGTGCATAAGAACTGATACTCTGCATTTCTTATTTTTTGAGTTATTGCCCTTTGTTGATTTTCTTACTTTATTTTTGTCCTATTCATTTTTCCTCAAGTATGAAAGCTATGGACTTGAAACATCATAGAATGATAGATCTTATTGATAAGAAGTGAAGTGCAGAGAAACGGCTGCTCTGCACTTAGTATTTTTTTAGTTATTGCCCTTTGTTATTTTCATATTTCATTTTTGTCCTGGCCATTTCTCCTAAACTACATTGTTCAAAAGGCGACACATCCGACTCGCGGAGTTCTAGTGTTTCATTAGGTTTTATGGCACATGCAGTCCCAACACAATTTATGTCATATTGCGCCAAAACAGGAAAGGTGATTTTGGCTGCATAACCTCAGGTGTTACAAACTTTTAAGCAACACCAGGGGTCAAAACCATCTCACCTGCTGGAGATATTAGAGAGATGCAATTGGACTCAAGTAATTTGAACCCATTTAATTGCCTCTTAATACAATCACTCTAGCATAAACTGTGGCTGCAAATCTTATGCCTCAACCCTTAAAGATATACTATGCTCATCTTTGAGTAAAATATTTTAATCACAGAAATTTATTAAAACCTATGAAATTCTTACTGAATGTGTCTAATTTAAATAAAAATTGAATAATAAACTATATTGAAAGTCACGTTCTCTTGGAAACCCCTCAGCCACAAGGGGGGGGGGGGGCCTGCTTAGACTTACCGAATAACTGAATAATCACAAAGGTAAAAACTAAGGGAAAAAAGCTAACAGAATCAGATATAAATACAAACTTGAAACAATAATTTCCACCTGCCAGCCTAACCTTTAGAAAATAGAAGAAACAAATTTTCATCCAGAAAAAAATGATAAGATCTCACGTAGGGCTGATCTGTGGTATTAAATCTATGTTTCCAATATTTTTTATCAGATATTTGACAGGCTTGAATCAGATAAGGCAATATTTACTCTGGGTCTTTTTCTCAAAATAATTTTCCAGGTTTTTTTTATACAACAGGTACTGTAAAATATGAAAGTTATGTAACAGTTTTGTGAAGAAAGAATTTGAAAATATTTATTATAAGTGGGTATGATAAACACCAAACACTGGATACGTTTGGAGAATTAAAAAAAGAGTAAAAATAATTAAAGAATGGCCTAGTTTTGGAATTGTGAAGACTTAATACTTTTGAGATTTAAAATAATTTTTGAAAATTTTGATTATTTCTTTGCTAATAGATATGTATTTTTTTTTTGAAAAGTTAATTTTTTTAGCTTGACTTTTATGGTTTGGTTTGGATTTTTTCCTTTAAAACTTAAATTTACATTTATTATTTTCTTCCATGACAGAATACTATTACACTGCCATAACTAAGCTTTCGGATATATAAAATATTGATAAAAATATGCACATCATACTTTTCCTAAAGTTAATTATTTATACAAATTTGTTCGGAGAGAGTTTTCAATAAAGCTTTTCAAGCTAAAAAAGCTTCCTATTCAATCCGAAAATGTTATTTCATGTACCTTATTATGTAAATGTATAGATTATATAAAAAATATTGTTAAGCTAAAAACGAATTTGATTAAAAATTATTTTAATGAAAAAATGTTGTAATGAGTAAAATTGTATTAATATCAATGTATATATTGTATATGGTATTGTGGATTTTAAGGTTTGCGAAGTTGTTTACCTTTATTCTCTACATTTTAAGAATGTATTTTCAAAGGAAAACTATTTTGACAGCTTGAAAATGATTGTCCATGCTAAGTTGTCAGTTTAAATTTACTTTGATAGCCAAACAGCGATGACAATTTAGATTTTAAGTTACCATTCTTTTAAAACGTAATTATGAAAAAAAAACACCCCATGATATATACCAAGTTTACGGTATTTTCTATCGTAATTTTTCTCACCCCTGTGGAGCATATACTGCAATAAGCTTATTTTTGTGTTATCTTTTTTTTTTCATTAAATAATTTTTGGTATATCATAGGGGAAACAGTTGAACCTTCTGCCCTAGGGCACAATTTCGGCCAATTTCGGGAGGTAGGCAATTTATTTAATTACAGTGGGAGGAAATTCAAGACAGGAAAATTACTAGAATGGGGCATTAAATTGCTCCATGTCTGTTAAGATCTCTTTTTATTGTTTCTGTGCTGTACTTACTCTATCCCAGGTGGTACAGGTTTTGCTCTGTTTGATTCTAAAATATGATAGATGTGTTTTTTTTATATTCATCCTGATACCATGAAAAAAATGATAGGCTGCGATAGATTTTGATTTACTGGTGACTTAACACTGGAGTGAATAAAAAAATAGTAAGAAGGAGCACTTGACTGTTTGGATTATATAAAAAGTTTTCAGATATATTTTTATGGATATTAATATAGTTTGATAAAAGAGGATATACATTTATATCAGAAATCTCAACACTGTTGTAAGGTAGTATATATACATTGTGTTTTCATATATAAAGTTACCTTGGTGATATATTATAATTTATTAGTTATACGATTTTTGACAGTTTATATGGCTCTATTTAAATGTTTGTTTGGAAATATAATCCACTATACGAGGGTTATTTTGCAAACAACCAATACAATACAGTCAAATAACCCAAGTAACAATTTTTATAATAAATCTATAATACAGCAAACTTTCTTTTTTGAAAAAACAAATGAGATTTCTTCATAAATCTAAGCGCCATGTATATAAAACTACATAAACATTGTGATTATCCAATGAGAAGCGACTTTACAGACAATATAAAATTTGCAAAAACCTTTTGTATCTTATGCTCAGTATTAGTAAAGTTATGACTGTACATTATTTTCTTTCTAAACTATGTAGTAGGGGCGTCCATAGCCTAGTGGTTAACGTTGCTTACTTCAAACCACTTGGCACTCACCGCTGTGTGTTGAAATCCCTCGACGGCCTTAATTCTTTCATGTCAGGAAGTTATCAACATAGCTTACGGTGGTTACACACAGGTGGCCCCTTTGAGCTTTAAAGAATGCGCTGAGGGGCACTTGAGGTCTCCTCAAGTAGTAAACCATATGACCTCTACTATTTTGGTGCGACTTAAAACTCGACCAAAAAGGATTCAGAATGAATGATGTCAGCCGATCAATTAAGGTTTAGAATGATCTTTTTGTTAATTTGATTGATTGATTGATTGATTGATTGCATTCAGTAATTTACAGATTTGAAAAATTGATTTGTACATATATAGTTACTAAGAAAAAAAATTCTTATATTAATATATTATGTGATATAATGAAATGAATTTATTTGGATATAGATGTCACATGCCTCTGCCAGGTACTTTGAATTCTATCATGTGAGGAAGTTACGCAACTTGTTGACTTGGTATTACTTAGGTTGGTGGTTCTTCTTGGGTGCTCACTTGTCCCATAAATAAATGCTCCTGTGGTATTTTTTCTTTATGTAGAATTTGTTACAGTTCCATTGTGTAGACAGCTATTAACTTAAAGACACAGTCTGTCCCATGAATCAACCAGTCCAAAGTAATGAGTGTGTTTTTCTTGCTCTAAATAAAAAACAACGGCTTGTCAGGGTTTGAACCTGAGCAGCCAGCAATCCTTAAACTACTAGTCTGACAAGTTAGCTACTCTGTGATGCCACCACCTATGGTCCTTTCCACCATTAAAAGCTGAAAAGTGGCCTTTGATATTAAAGCTGCATGCTTCCAGATGAACCAAAAGAAAATCAGTTTTGAGAAAAAAGTGTTGAGATTTTAAGAAAAGTAAAAAGATTCAAGATAAAAGTAATAATTTTTATGTTATGCGCACTTTATGGCTGATTTCACAGTATTTTTCACTATATTGTACTGTGTTTACTAATGCGCTAAAGGCTTTTTATCCCCCGTCGAAAATTTTTGGCGGAGGATATAGAAATAGTCTCCGTCCGTCCGTCCGTCCGACCTTCCGTCTGTCCGTCCTTCCGTCCGACATTTTTGTCCGGAGCATATCTCTAAAAGTATTTGAGTTATCAACTTGAAACTTCATAGGTGGATAGACCTCATTGAGGAGGAGTGCAGTGCACAAGAATGATAACTCTACCTTGCATGATTTTTGAGTTATTGCCCTTTGTTATTTTTCAAAATTGATTTTTGTCCAGAGCATAACTCCAAAAGCCTATGAGATATTAACATGAAACTTCATAGGTGCATAGATCTCACTCAGGAGGTGTGCAGTGCACATGAATGATAACTCTACCTTTCATAATTTTTGAGTTATTGCCCTTTGTTATTTTTCATACTTAATTTTTCAATTCAATTTTTTTCTCAAAAAGTATTTGAGGTATCAACTTGAAACTTCATAGGTGGATAGATTTTACTGAGGAGGGATGCAGCACACAAGAATGATAACCTACCCTGCATTATTTTTCAGTTATTGCCCTATGTTATTTTCAGCCATCAGTATTCACATAGGTTTCAAATCTGTAATCACTATAGCCATCAGTTTTCATTACCAAAAGACCTCTTAAAATAGAATTATTCTGTTCTTCTACATATACATTCTTCCAATGAGCAAACACATTCGGCGGGGGATGGCCATGTTGACATGGCTCTTGTTTTGCTTACTTTTACCTCATTTTGGTAAGTTACATCGGTTATAAGTGCTGTTTGCAATGTGAAAATTATTATGCCCCCACAGAGTGGGAGCATATAGCGTTGCACTTGTCCGTCCGTCAGTACGTCTGTCCGTCCGTACGTCTGTCTGTACGTCCCGAAATCTTGTGAACGCAACTCCTCTTAAACCGGATGGCAGATTTTGCTTAAACTTTCAGGGATGAACAACCTTAAACATGTAGATGGTAGTAAAGGAAGGAATTTTCACTGCGACCAAATTTAACAGAATTATGGCCCTTTGTTGATTTTTTCACTATATACTATGTAGAAATTTTGTGAACGCAACTCCTCTTAAACCGGATAGCAGATTTTGCTTAAACTTTTAAGGATGAACAACCTTAATGTGTAGATGGTAGTAAAGGAAGGAATTTTTGCTGCAACCAAATTTAACAGAATTATGGCCCTTCGTTTATATTTTTCACTATATACTAAGTAGAAATTTTGTGAACGCAACTCCTCTTAAACCGGAAGGCAGATTATGCTTAAACTTCCAGGGATGAACAACCTTAATGTGTATATGGTAGTAAAGGAGGGAAGTTTTGCTGCAACCAAATTTAACAGATTTATGGCCCTTTGTTGATTTTTTTCACTATATACCATATAGAAATTTTGTGAACGCAACTTCTCTTAAACCGGATGGCAGATTTTGCTTAAACTTCTAGGGATGAACAACCTTAATGTATAGATGGTAGTAAAGGAGGGAAGTTTTGCTGCAACCAAATTTAACAGATTTATGGCCCTTTGTTGATTTTTTTCACTGTATACCATATAGAAATTTTGTGAACGCAACTCCTCTTAAACCGGATGGCAGATTTTGCTTAATCTTCCAGGGATGAACAACCTTAATGTGAAGATGGTAGGAAAGAAAGGAATTTTTGCTGCGACCAAATTTAATAGAATTATGGCCCTTTGTTGATTTTTTCACTATATACCATATAGAAATTTTGTGAACGCAACTCCTCTTAAACTGGATGGCAGATTTTGCTTTAACTTCCAGAGATGAACAACCTTAATGTGTAGATGGTAGTAAAGGAATGAATTTTTGCTGCGACAGAATTATGGCATTTTGTTAATTTTTTCACTATATATCATATAAATGTTGTCAGTGGGGGCATCCATGTCCTTTGGACACAGTTCTAGTTTTCTTTGTTCACTTCACAATATTTTACTTCTTAGATACATTTTCAAACTTTTCATAAAAATTAGCATTGTAAATGAATCTGGAGGCGTGCAGCTTTAACCAATGTTGATGTGACTGAATACTCAAATATATAATTATATGATTGTAATTTTTTTCCTTCTGGCATTTCAAATGACATTTAATTAGGACTGATTGATTTTTAATTGATTGATTGATAATAAGCCATCTTGTTTTTATAATTATTAAAGAGATTGATCGATTAGATGCCAAAACTTATTTTAAAACAAACAACAAGAAAAGGTCATTTGGTGCGTTATGATTAACCCATGTCGCCAGCTTCTGTGTATGATGATAAAAATAATAAAAATACCAACTTCACTATATGAGTATAGCCGGCCCATATCCCGGTATCTAAACCGACCTGTACACTTAATCTAAATAGATATTTCACAAGTTTATTAAATACATATTTACCTGTCATAATGTATGTAGATAGATATATATATTTGATTGTGTTAGTTAAGATAATCAGAAGAGTGCAACATTCATTCATAATGATAGAAAAATATTTGGTATTTTAATAGTGTTCGATTTTTTAAACGATGGATTTTTATTATGACTGGTAAAATTTTTATTTTCTTATCTATGATAATTATTTTATATGTGTTCTAATTTCAATGCAGATGGTCAAAAATTATTGCTGTATTGTTGTTTCTATATATAGAAATAAGGAAAAAATGTGTTTGACCCTCATCCCACTGAATTTCTATAATGGACATACCAAGCTTTGGATTTGGAATGTTCCATTAATGGTTTAAGGGGTGTTTTGTATTATAATATTGAAATTGAGCAGCCACCCAATAGAGCTAAATCAGACTTCATACATAATGATGGATTGGTGCGAAATGGAAAGGTTATGCAGAGGCATATGGCACACTTGCCATGCCAATCATGGTCAAATTATCATAAAATAATCACCCCTTGATCATCAACCAGCAACCGTTTACTATATGAAATATAATATTATATTTGAGCCGCGCCATGACAAAAACAACATAATGGGTTTGCGACCTGAGCATGCGTCCAGACCAGCCTGCGCATCTGCACAGTCTGATAAGGATCCACGCTGTTAGCTATCAGTTTCTCTACTTTTTCAGTTTTCGGTTTGTAAGCGAACAGCATGGATCCTGATCAGACTGCGCGGATGTGCAGGCTGGTCTGGATCCATGCTGGTCGCTTTGTTGGTTTTGTCATGTCAGAGCTCATTTTATATTAGTAAACGGGTGCTGGATTCAAAGTTGTCCATGTCATTTTATCATTTAAGTATTGATGCCTCAAGATACTGTTTAAATTTATCTGTCTTTAGTTATGTAGTCATGTTGTGTGTTGTTTAGTTGTTAACCTAGGACAGTTCCATTAAATTAAGTCCTGTATCACCATGCTGATTCACAATTCCGTATAAAGATAGATATTTCAAAGCTAGTTTTATTACTGTAAGGGGGGAGACGATTAATTATTCATTCTTAGTATGCGACTGGTTTTTGTCAACTTCTGTCTTGTTACTAAATGTAGCTTTGTTAATGAAATAAGTGGATGTTAAACTACCAATAATGTGTAAATAATTTGTACCAGATACAAGTTTACCAA